TCTGGTGTCTACCAAAATTTTACTAAGGTTTCTAGGGTTTACAAATGAAGACGTTGAAATAGTTTTGGGGCAGAAAATTTGGTCGAGGGTCCATTGTGGAACAGTTTCTCCTCTGTAAACTATAATATGAAAGATTTTTAAGGTTTGTTAATGTTAACGGTAATATTTAAAATTTGTCGATTTTTCTTGAAAAAAAAAAAAATATATATATATATATATATATATATATATATATATATATATATATATATTTTTTAAATATAAATCCAAACTTCGCAAGCGTGTGCAATAATTAAAATATTCGGACCATTCCTTCATGTACCATCCCAACAGAGGGTAACGATTTTGAATAATCATACCACGCAAAATATCTGGAATTAGTCCCTGATTGTTGGTACTCATCATTAATATTAAATATTTATATTCAAATTTTTAACATCCATTTTTTACTGAAAATGATTACTCCTTTAAATACCTACCCCCAAAACCTCTAAAGTTTTAATAAAAATGTAACTTTCATTAGTTTGAAAGATATTCAAAAATTATAGTTATGTCTTCTACTGTATCTTCAAAACATTGCTTCCAAACACATAGAAAACCAGCTGCACTCAAACCATCTTGGCAGCGTGTGGATTCAAGCATCTTTTGCATTTGACTGCGACATTAGTAATGGATGGTTTTGATCTTTGTGGCCTGCAACGTCATCATCATCATATTTTTTCTTCTATTTTTTCTTTGTTCAGAGATAATATCTGCATGCCATGGGCATTGTGATTCCATTACAATAACCTCAGACAATGGCAGCAAAACCAATAACAACAACAATTTTAGCATGTGGTATTTTGAATAAACGCATTAAATAATGGTTTAATTTATGCGCTAAGATGGTTGAGCGAGATTTGAAAATTGTTATTATTTTATGGAGCCCAATAAAACAATGGCTTTAATTGTTCTAGCCGTTGAGATGAGGGTGGACACTTTAGTGGAATTAAAAAAAAGTTTTGTTTCTATGTGTTGGTGTGTGAATATTTCAAAATAATAATAAATGCCTATATATTTATTGCCGCCACTATACCACATAAGATCATTGATCGCTAGATTGCATTCTGATCACCAGTTCTGCAACGCACACATACAAACACGCCATCAACCTCTGATTGGATAATCAATGTGGGTTTTTTTATAAAACACAGCAAAAAGCAGGCAAAACCAACATCGAACAGAAGAGAAAAACAGAAACTGTCAATATCAAATGAGGTTAAACACATTAAAGCAATGCCAATGTATTTTCAATTATTACCAACCATAATTCTTCCACCAAAATTTATGCAAATCGAATTCTAGAGTTAGATACGCTGTTCGATCAATCTTGTAATTGACACTCAAACAAACGCACACACTCACAAACGTATAAGGTGGGTGTAAGAAATACCATAACCGCATGTTGTTCGGTTGAGAAAAAATTGTCGTTCGAACGTTGATCATTAACAGGAACCATGCTAAAACGGTTATCTGAAATATTTGCGGTTTCTATTCTAGACAAACGCAATTGCGGTTTAAGAACTTCTTAATGTCATCATTTATATAATTCTTTACGTTTTTTTTTTTTTTGGTTTGATTTTCTTTCAAGGAAAATTAGATTTGTCATAATTTTAACGGGAAATGGTGGAGTGTTGAGACAGTGGTTAGGAATGAAATATTTGAGCCTTTCCAAGAACACAGTTTTTATATAAATATGGGACAACTTTGCCGACTCCCAATGTCCAAAATATCATAAACTACTTTGATTTGTACTCTTTGTTAGTATGTGGTCTTGGAAGAACTATAATTTTACGAAAAATATTAAAATCATTACTAGAGCTGGAGATCCTGTAACCCATATTTTGCGATAGATATTGAGATAACCTGTGAATATAGAATTTTAAAATTCGGTGGGAAGAGACTCCCTGGTGCTGTATTTTTGCAAAATTGGTACAAAACATGTTAAATAGTATCAGGCGGATTTGTCAACAGATGGATAACCCAGCATTGAGTTGTGAGACCCAATTCTCTTCAAATTTCCCATATTCTGTGGAATATAATTTTAAAAAAATTTGTCCCGTTGTAGAGAGGAACCAAAAGAAGTGGTCCGAAATATTTCATCTACATACCAGATCTTTCCTTTTATCCTTTTTGAAGCAAGGTACCAGAAGGAATATGCGGGTGTATCCCATCTCCATATTAGATCTCATGTTAGGATGTGCTACGTTTTAAAATAATCGGCGAAGAGCGCCTTTTGTGAGCGTCATGGTTATTCAAAAATTTGACCCGTTGTGGATGAGTTCCCTTCTATCCGTTCTTGATGCCAAATCTTATGTCGTAAAAGCATCGGGATGTGCGAAATTTGAACACCGTAAGACTCTTCTTTCACACATTATTATAAAAAATTTTAATTATTAAAAAATTGACCCTATGTGGGGGTGTACTGAAAAAAGTGAACCGATATATCCCATCTGCAGACTACATCTTGTTTTAATAAAAATCTTGAGATGTCAAAGAATGAAGACGATCAGGCTCTTATTTCACATTATTTTAAGAATTATAATTATTAAAAATATTGACAAACAAAAGAGAGATACTTGATGGATCGGCCCACTCCAACAAACCACGGAGGGGGTAGGTCAAATCGTACCTGATAAAAATATAGGGAGTCGCAATCTTTGCTCAGAATTGGCCTATTCTTTCTTACTCTATGAGGTAAATAATTTTCTGGGAGTGGGCCCGAAGAAATGGGCCGATATAGTCCATCTCCGAACTCGATATAAGTTTGAAAATAATATCAAAATGTGCCATGTTTCAACCAAATCGAATACTCTCTTCGAGAGACAGGCAAGCCAAATCGAAATTATTTAAAAAAATCATGATAGTTAAAAATTTTTCTAAAAATCCGCTTTCCTTGAAATAATATTTTTAATAACTCCCTGAAAAAAATATTAAGAGATCTAAAATACCTTATATATCCATGACCCTTGAAAAAATAGTTATAAAAAATCCACGATACTTTAAAGAATTTTCTTAATAAACCCAGAATCCTTAAAAAATAATCTAAAAAATTCCAGGATCCATTAAGAAATATTCTTAAAACAATTTAGAATCATTAAAACCTATTCATGAGACCTCCTCATATCCAGGGTGAGATGAAAAAATTGCAACCAAATTAAAACTGCTGACATTTCTAAGCCACTCGTCCGACAGCTGTTAAAATTATTCCGGTGACAGCTCATTATATGGTTCTTAAGAGTACAAAAGCATTTTGGTACGAATTTTCCAGAAAAAAAGTTATTCGTGATGGAATTTAAGCGTGATAGTGAGATTTCTTTATATTTGCCTGAAAAACCACAAGTGGCTATCGTTAGAGCACTCCAGTACTTAAATTTAAACAAATCTTTTGTGTCTCGTGACCCGTGATACTGGTAGCGTAGCCCGACGTCAAGAAAGTGGATGGAAGAAACCGTCAACATCAGCAGAAATGGTACGAAAAGTAAAGAAGCGAATTGCTCGAAACCCACATCGCAGTGGCCGAAAAATGGCTCGTGAACTGAACATATCGCAATATTCCATTCGGCAAATATTGAAAAATGAGCTCGGGGTAAAGCCATTGAAATTCCAAAAAGTGCAAAAACTTACACCGCAACAGAAAAAAAAAAGAGCTAAAGACTTGCTACGCTTGGCCGAAAGTGGTGAACTGCCGAATTTGGTTTTCTTCGCTTTCGATCAGAAAAAATTCATTGTCCAGCAGTTTGTAAACAAACAAAATGATGGTGTTTACTTGCCAAAGAAGTCGGATGAAAATGTGCACCTTCGGTTGGCCACCAGAACTGGTGCTGGTGTGGGCCGCCATAACAGCCGATGGTCGCTCTCCGCTCGTTTTAATCGACCGTGGTATGAGAATAAAGGCCGAATATTATCGCGAAAATATACTGGAGGGTGTATTAAAGCCGTGGGCACGTAAACATTTTGGCCGCAGACCTTGGACATTTCAACAAGACTCAGCACTATCGCACTCAGCACGCGGCACTCAAGAATGGTTACAAAATGAGGTTCCTCGCTTCATTTCCAGCGCACAATGACCACCAAAATCTCCGGATACAAATCCGTTGGACTATTGTAGTAGAGTATTTTGGAAAGCAAGGTTGGAACTAAGAAATACCAAAGTGTCGATCACCTCAAGCAAGCACTTCACCAGGAATGGGCCAAAATACCTCAGAGCAACATTCGGGCAGCGTGTGACGGTTTCATTGGTCGTTTGAAGGCCATAATTCGTGCCAAATATGACCAATTCGAAGAAATCTTAACTTATTCTAAAATTTGATGCTATTTCCGACATTTTTTGCTTTCATTCAATAAAATTTAAAAAAAAATGTAAAAATTGCAATTGCTGTAGTTTTTTAACTCACCCTGTATGTACTTATTAAATAAAAAGTAAATACTTGTCGTGGGGCATGCCCTTTTTAAAAAAGGGTAACCAAATTTGTAATGAGTATTTTGATAATCATAAACTTAGGAGACGAAGAAGCAACTTGTTAAACTACTTATAATTTTGTTTTCGTTGTCATTCACATATTTCTAATTAAGTTATATTGGTTTAGATTTAAATTTTCTTTGCTCACATTTTAAATAATCAATTTTTTATACCACTGTCTCCTACCAATCAATGTTAAATTGGTTGGCAATCAAGTGCAACAGTCTATTTTTCAATTATCACTGTTACATATTTCCATTTTCGAAGAAAGAAAAACGGGACCAAGGTACGAGGGAACAAAACTCAGTGGAATACCACAAAAAAAAATAAAAATAACGATGACTTCCAAATCTATTTTCTTATTCAATTATTGTGGTTTCCGCAAAATCACAGCTATAACCGTAGCCGTGGCCAGTGTGGAATGTCAGAAAAATCTTATAAATAAACAAGAAGTGTCATAATTTACATTTAGTTTTATGACAGGCTACAGCAACAACGTCATCTCACTGTCATCCGGTATTGCATTTCGTTTCGAGGAAATTGTCAAAAAAGTGCAACTTCCTACAATTCGGGAGAGTGAAATACATTTTTATTATTTGTCACACAATTCGTTACAATTTTCATAACAAAATGTTAATTGAAAAGTGTAAACATATCAGCAGATCAAATAACATTCAAATCAAACTAAAATCTGGAACCATCTCATGTCGACACAGCAATAGCCATGGGAATTTGTTACATCGCTTCTATGACTATCTGGCCAACTATTATGCACAGCATTGTGATCCGACTCGGCATCTTCATCGTCATGGCCATCGCGATTACTATGGCCGTCGCATGTGCTATCTATCATCTCTAATGGCTGTGGTTTTGGGTGTCATTCTGTTGCCATTGCCACAACGATGCAATGCTGTCGGCTACTCCTATACCCGTTTCCGAGGACCTGTCTCTGGTCCCGAGCATCGCATCTATGTACGCAATGGAGTTGCTTCTTCATCGCTTGGCACTCATGATCACCACCCTGATGAGGAGTCACACTTGGATTATGTTGCCAAACCGGAATATGAATTTGCATACGGCGTAGAAGATACACAAGCCCATATTTTGCACAATCGCAATGAGATGCGTGACGGCGATGCTGTAAAGGGGGTTTATAGGTGAGCCACCACTAACATCGTCATCGGTTACTGTAACACCATAAACACGTAATGCTATAATGATATGAATTGAAATTCAAAACGTTACACAAAACGGAAGTTCAAACAATTAAAAAGCGAAAAATAGGAAGTGCATGAAAAGAAAGCAAAAAAACGGTGATATTGGATTTGCGAATTACAAAAATAAAGAGAGCAACAAGTGTAGGAAATGTATATTAGTGTGTCTTGAGTTGCAACGTATGTGAAAGAGGAAAGAAGAGAAAAGAAAGTAACTAAGCTAATTTAATGTAACAACCGGATGATAAATGCTATAAAAAATCCTGAAAATATCAACGATCCTTGAAAAAAATGACTGGATAATGTTTGAATCTCTTCTTAAAAATCTACGATCGTTGAAACATTCCTATGAAATGCGAAATCTTAAAAAATATTCTTAAAAAACCATGACCTTTTAAAAAAGTAGTAAAAAATCCCTTCAAAATTCCTTTAAAAACCTATTGGAAAATCCAGAATTTTTAAAATAATATCCTCAATGAATCCTTAGACTTGAAAATTATACTAAAAACCCCATGACCCTGGAATAATTTTATAAAAATCAAGGATCCGTGATAGATATTCTTAATAAACAATTCATATGTTTAAAAATCAAGGACCTTGAAAAATCCTTGAAAAGATCATCCTAAAAATATTAACAAATTAAAGATCCTTAAAAAAATATTGGTCCTTGAAACAATGTTTGGTCCTTGAAATAAAATTCTTAGAAATTGAAAAAAATCTATTACGCTTTGGAAAAAATAATAAAAAATTAAAAAAAATCTAATCTAAAAATATTTTTTCAAAAACCAGGATCCTTGAAATAATATTTTTAAAAATCCAGGATTATTTAAAAATTGTCTTAAAAATCAATCAACCTTGAAGTAATATTTTTTAAAATCTACGATCCTTGAAAAATCGTCTTAAAAACTATTAGAAAATCTAGGACCCTTGAAAATGTCATCTTCCTATAAAATATTAAAAAAATCCAAGATCCTTGAAAAAATATTGGTCCTTGAAATAACGTTCTTAGAAATTGATAAAAAATTCTGTACGCTTTAGAAAAAATAGTACAAAATTTTAAAACAAATCCAATCTTAAATTTTTCTTAAAAAATCAGGATCCTTGAAATAATATTTCTAAAAATCCAGGATTCTTTAGAAATTGTCTTAAAAATCAATTATCTTTGGCATAATATTTTTTAAAATCTACTATTCTTGAAAAATCGTATTAAAAACTATAAAGAAATCTAGGATCCTTGGAAATATCTTCCTATAAATTATAAAAAAAAAATTGGTCCTTGAAATAAGTTTGACCCTTCAAACAACATTCTTAGAAATTTAAAAAAATACTAAAAAAATAAAAAAAACATTCAATCTAAAATATTCTTACAAAAACCAGGATCCTTGACATAATATTTCTAAAAATCTAGGATTCTTTAAAAATTATCTTAAAAATCAACCATCCTTGGAAAAATATTCTTAATTAATTAATTCCGCGTTCCTTGAAAAGTTCTTGTAAAAAAAATTAGAAAATCTAGCCTTGAAAAGATCTTAATTTAAAAAAATTAAAATTCCAAAATTCTTGGAAAGATATTGGTCCTTGAAAAGATATTCTGAGAAACTGCTAAAATTCACTACGTTTAAAAAAAGTCTTTAAAAAAATAAGAAAAATCAAATATAAACAGATTCTTACAAAATCCAATAAAAAATCGCGATCTTTGAGAAATATTCTTAAAAATAATTTATCCCTTTAAAAAAATAGAAAAGTCCATGATTCTTGAAGAAATATTCTTAAAAATTCACGATATTTAAAGGACTTATTAATAAAAACTCTACGATCATTGAAAAATATTCATTGAAAATCAACAATTGTAACCAATAAAAAATGCAAAAAGTCGTGCTTTTCAAAATTTTTTTAAAATCCACAATCATTAAAAAATTAAACCACGAAAACTTACGTTGCTTGAATGAATATTTCAAAAAAATACACTTTAAACTCAACAATCCTTTAAAAAATATTGCTAAAATTCCCCAATCCTTGTGCTTTTACAAAAACTGTTTCAAAATCCTTGATCCTCAAAAGACTATAACTAAAAAACAAATATAAAATAAATATTATACCTTAAAATACACAAAATCTTTAAAAATGCTAAAAAAATTAGCCAAAAAGATCCAAGTTTCTTGAAAAATAATCTCAGAAAAATCACGACTTTTAATAAAATCCGTGATGCAAAAAAAAATAGAAAAGAATACGCAATGCTTGAAAATTGTTGGAAAAAATTCGAAAAAATATACCCTGAAAAATATATAAAAAATGCACAAACCTTGAAAAAATCCACGATTTTATATCCAAAAGTCTTTGACATTTGTTATTATTCATAAACACCCCTTGGTCTCTGAAGGTGTCATCAAAAATATTCTTAAATATCCAGGATTGTATTTTCGAAATGTTTTTGGAGAATATTTCCTTAAAAATCCACGCTTATGTGTCCTAAAGTTCTTTTAAAATATATTTGAAAAATCTGAAATTATATTTTTTATGTTCTTTGAAAAATTGAATTGGTTTTTAATTGGTCAATTGTCGGAGCAAATATTTTTAAAAATTTAGAGTTATATCCCCAAAGGTAATTTAAACATTTATTTTTATAATTTATTTAAAAAATCGTCGAAATACCGAATATATGGAGTTACTGATATATGGGGCCTATACAAAGACCTAAAGATGCATAGACAATTTCCTGTCATCGACTGCAGACGAACTCTAAATACGAAGTTTGAAACAACTCAAGTGAATAATGTCGCAAAAATCATCAAAACACCGACTATTGGGAGGCTCCGTTATATGGAGGCTATACGAAGACGTGGGCATGAATACCCAATTTTTTGTCATAGGCTGTAATACCCATTACCAATTCCAAATACGAAATTTGAAACAACTCCGGTGAATAAAGTCCCTAAAATAGTCGAAATATCGAATATCGGAGGGTACCTTTGTATGTGGTATGTTACATCGTGGATATTCTTAAAATCTTCAAGAGTCCTTAATAATTATTCTGAGAAAAATCACATTTTTATGTCCAAAAGTTCTTAAAAATATTTCTAAAAAATATTTGATTATGAAACTAATGATTTTTAAAAATACCCTTGAAAATTATCCATTACATGTAAAAATATTTTTAAAAGTTGAAAATGTATTCCTTTAAATCCTCGATTTTATCTCCAGTAGTCCTTAAATATATATATTTCATTAAAAATTATCCATTATTTTTACAGTGTTGTTGATCCAGATGGCACTCTGCGTGTAGTGCGATATACAGCTGACGATGTCAATGGTTTTCAGGCTGAGGTGGTAAAAAATGGCATTTCTGCCATACACGGTCAATTACAAAAGGATACACCTGCTCCTTCACACATTCCCACAGACTATAACAATCACTATGGTTACAATAGATATCCTTCGTTGAATAGTTATTCCTCAGATAATTACAATAATTATCAAAATCCAGGATATTATTATCCAGCAACGGTCGATCATGTGACTCCCCCAACAACAACAACATCTGATAATAATTACAACAATTATCAAAATTATGAAGATCAAAATTACGAAGATCCAAATGTCAATCCAGAGGATAATGTGGAACATGTTAATGTGGAGGATAATGGGGAATATCATCCCCAGTATGAAGTGCATGAAGAAGAGCCATCTTCGGATGATGGGAATGTTAAGGAGGAGGGCGAAAATGACAATAAGAAAGGTGGAGGTGGCAAGAAAAAGGATTATGACGATGATGAGGAGGATGAAGACGGAGATGATGATGATTATGATGACTCGGATGAATTGGAAGACTATGATGAAGCTGTTAAGAAGAATAAAGGTAGCGATGAAAGTGATGAATATTATTAAGAGCAAATAATTTGCATGGATATACATTAATTTAAGTAAATTACTGAAAATTATTTTATGATATTATAATGTGATAGGTATTAGCAATTATGATAACGGTTCGAAATATTAGATAAATAATGTGTATGTATTTCAATAAAATTAAAAAAATATTATGAAGTATAGTTTTTACACAAGACCATGGGGAATAAAGTCGACAAACCCAAAATGTAGAATTTTCGATTTAAGATTTCTTGGAATACGTTGATTTTAGGTATATAGTGTCTTGGACACTATCCCACATATACCAAAAACCACCTCCTTATATCAACTCTATTTCTCAGACTTGATTCTCATATCAAATTTAAAGGTTTTTTATACCCTCCATATAAAGGTACCTCCCTATATACGATATTGTTAACCGTTAATTTCAAGTTTCGAATTTGAATATAGTAATGGCTTATGACAAATAATGCCTATGTAGGTTCACGTCGTATAGACCCCAATATAACAGCTATATTAGGTATTTTTAAAATTTTTAATAGAATTTTTTGAGGATTTTATTTTTTGAAAATTTCCAAATTCGTTCCAAATGGTGGAGGGTATTAAAAGTTCGGCCCGGCCGAACTTACTGCCTTTTAACTTGTTTTTCTATCTGTTTATATTATTCCAATAGAAATTATTAAAATTTGTACCAAATTTAGTGCTTTTTAGTACCTCTGGTACACATATTCTTAAAATTTCGAAAAACACTTTAGTTTGTTAATCCTACACGGCATCAAGGACTCTCACTCCAAAATTCAGATTTCCAGCTCTATTTCATCCCCAAATACCATAGTTAATACTATTTAGTAATTTCCGTACTTTTTAGTATGTACAAAAGGTTATCAAAATTCCAAATTTTAGCCTTCCAACTGAATTTCTTAACCAAATGCCAAATTTAGTACTTTTTTGTACATATTGCCAAAACCCCTACATATCTCAAACCTACGCACCAATATAATTAAAATTTTAGTACCGTACATACATTTCGTACATGTACGGTACGTATTACTAAAACCACTTCCATATCTAAACACTACACACCAACCCAATCCATCAAATAGTAATCTTAATTCCAAATTTCGGGATTCCAGCCCTATCGGTTCACATAAATCCATATTTTACCAAATTTAGTACATATAAGTAATCTCACACTCCATATTCCCAAATCTATCTCCATACATCAATCTTACAATCCCACAAAAATCTTATTCCAAATTTTATTTAGTACACATTTCCGCAGCCCTACCGGTTTACCCAAATCCAAATTGTACCAAATTTAATACCATATAGATAAGTACGAATTTCCTAAGTTTCCAACATACCCCAATCCTATACTCCACAGTAATCCCAATTCAAAAGTTCAGCATTCCATTCTTATCGGTCCGTCTAAATACAAATTATACCGAATTTAATACCATATAGTATAGATAAGTACGAATTTCCTAAACTCCCTACATAACCAAATCCTACACGCCAACAATAATCTTAATTCCAAATTTCAGGATTTCAGCTCTATCGGTTTACGTAAATCCAAATTGTACCAAATTTAGTAAATTTTAGTTCATATAAGTACAAATTTCCAAAACTCCCTACATCATACAGTCCAATAAAAATAGATAGTATTCCAACTTTGCGATTTTTTTTTTCAAAAACTTTTACCATATCCCAATCCTAACTTCCGCCAGTGAGGCTAATTCAAATTTTCAGTACTCCAGCTCCATAATTTAGTACCGTTTAGTATTTTTTGTATACATGAGAAACACTTCCAAAACTACCTCCTTACATCGACTCTAATCCTCAACCTCGATTCCCATTCTAAATTTCAAGTTTTAGCTCTAATCGTTTACATGATACGAAATGGTACCAAATGCAGTACATTTTAGTACTTTGCATACAACTATATCGCGAATTTCCATCAGTCACCCTCATTCCAAATTTAAGTCTTCTAGCTCTACTATTTCCCCAAATACAAAGGGACCATATTTAGTACCTTTTATACTTTTCGTACCGTTATAGTACGAATTTCCAAAAACGAAGCCTTATCTGACTCTTTCGAACAAAGATTTTGAGATTCTAGCTTCAGCCGTTTCGTTAATTGATTTACTCTTTTATTAATATAGATTAAGACTTTTGATATATTTCTTATTGTACGATCCAACTGAAATGGATTTTTAGTCATATTTAGAAATAAGGACCACAAAGACCCCTTTTTTAACTCGCTTCAGGGATAAAATCGTCTATCAAAATAATACTCGTATTTTGATCTGCAATGTTACTACAGCCGATATATACCTAAAATTAACGGGTTCCAAGGAAACTTAATCCAGAAACTGTTGTAGAGGGGGGAACTTGCCTCCTCTACTTCGGTTACTTTGCGATGTAAACTTTAAAAACGCCGATACACGTGTCTTTATTTTTAGCTCTATCTTCATAATCTGCTGGATTTTTCCTGTAGTTATATAAAACAATTTTGTCGCATAGTGTAATTTTCTAGATTTTCCCTTTAATTAATGAATAAAATTAAATTTTGTCCTACACTGAGGGTATATTAGTGCGGTTTAATTTTAAAATCGAATATTCCACAAAGGTATCTGCCAAAAAACCGCCTGATTCTTTTTAACGTGTTTGTATCTCAGTTACATTATGCACGTTTTTCCTTTCATTTATTCATAATATATATCATTTTTAACCACATCAAACACTCTCCGATTTACCCAGTCTCATTGCACACAGGTATCACATAACATTAATTTTCCAAAGTTTTCTTTTTGACAACTCTTGAAGGGTGGAAAATTGCATATCAAAGACATAATACGTCTGCTACAAAACACTCTAATGGACTTCAGACACACACACATCTAAAGAAATAAACTCCTATTGGCATGGGTGCGGGTAGCCAACTTTTACAGATCCCGTGATTGGAAACAAGTTGCAGTGAGGCTGGTTTTTCATGCGCTTTTTGTCGTTGTTGTGACTTCTTTCGCTTTTGTTACTATTATTCCAATGAAATAAAATGTGTGTTAGATAGCCGCCAGTTCGTTGAAATGGTCAACAAGAAAATTCGCAAAATATCAACATAAAGACATTCATGAATTCATTCATTCATGCCTCCGGACCACATCTTTGGTAGATAGATGATGGCTGATAGCTGGAATAAAAGCAAAACATTTATCCAATCAACTGAACGGCCAAACATCCAGATGCCAGTGGTAGTCAGTTGGGCACTTGGTCAAAAAGTCACTGTGTCTGTGGAGGAGATTATGTGAAATTCCAATGACGTTTGCTGGGCTTTTGTAATACTCCATTTTTCGGTGTGAGGTTTAAAAGCCCCCACCACCAACTAGACACATATACTTTTACTGAAATGTGTGTGACCAAATGACCAACAAACACACATGGTTGCAGAGGGAAGAGAGGTGATCCAAACGGGATAGATTTATTTATCTTTGTATGGATCTGGATCGATCTGCAAGTCTAATATGGCATGGTGGTCGCAGCAACCTACAACTCGTCATATCGCTTCGATCGTAAACACTCTCCCCATACGAAATCAATGAATTTTGTGGCAATTGCTGATCGGGAATGAAAACCAAAACACATTGGTCAATTGGTATGGGACTGAAAAGAAAACATTTCGCATAAATAAAAGTTGTTTCGCGAAAAAAAATTGGGTCAGCCGAAAAAAAAAAACAAACACGGCAGTCAATAACCAGACCAATATCTAATGCAGTTGCCCACTGGTCTGTGTTGTTCTCCACTTTTTTTTTTGCATTGGTGTCCAGGGGCCGTTAATTGACAGTTTAATCTGGGGTTTGTTTTCGTTTTTTTCTTTATTTCTGTAGAGGAAAATAAAAACTTGATTATTATTGACGGATCTTGGCTATCGTTTCGTTGTTTTTTCTTCTTTCTTCGATGTTGCCTGAGTTGAGTTACAACGGAGACCAGACGAAATGCTCTCATTTGCCGGTTGTGTTTGTCTGCAAACAAAAAGTGTGTTGTCACACATGAATGTTTGTTATTGTTGTTGCAACATTTTGTTGTTATTTTGATTGTTGTTGTTATTGCCGTTGTCACCAATGATGAAAATGAAAAGAAGAAAATGTTGTAATCATCTTTCAACAACCTGTTATTCGATACAAAATAAATTCACTTTTAAATGAGTTCTGGTTTGCGATTTGTTGGTAGGTTATTCAAAGTGGGTTGGTTTTCTTTCAAATTGCAGAGGTGGGAAAACTATATAAATGGGGTCCAAATTATGATTTTTATAGGGAAAAATCCTATAAAAGTTTTCAATTGAAAAAATGTCCCAAAAATATCGAGCATTAAATGTTTAGCCATCCTTGAAAATAAAAAAATAAATAAAATAAATAAAAATAAAAAAACAAATAAAATAATAACCCATAGGAATTGGAATAACATCAACGATTATCTTTACAAAGTCCATCTTCTTTAAAGATGATGCGAATCGTAACGTTACTGTAAATCGTGAGCACTACCGGGAGATAATATCCATATTTTTTCTAAAAATGGATGAAAAATCATTTGCATGACATGTGGTTTCAACAAAGTTTCTAAGAACATATCCGTAAAAAACCAAAAATATTATTCTAAAAATTCAGACATACCTCTCAAAAAATTTCTTCAAAAATTCAAAATTCTTTAAAAAACCACGTTATATCCTTGAAAACTCAATCTTAAAAATCTCTCTATATCCTTGAGGAAATATTCCTAAAACATCTAAAATGATTCACAAATCATTCAAAGATATATTTCCAATGGTCCCCTAAAATATTTAAAATAACGGCAGTTATGTCTCCACAGTTCTTAAAAAAAGATAATTGCAAAATATTTTTCTTAAATAAAGTCTACGAAGGTCCCTTAAGGTTTATTTTAGAAATATCGCTTAGTTTTCAAGTGATATTCTTCAGATTGTAAGGATCCTTGAAAATGATTTCAATAAAGAACTGTAATATCTCCAAAATCCTTGGAAAAATACTCTTTAATAATACACGCTGCTAAGTCCAAAGATCTTGAAAAAAAACATTATTATACTCTTATATCTCTCCAACGGT